GGGGCACACAGGGCCAGGGGGGCGGGGGGGGGGATGGGGGTATAAGAGCCAGGAACAAGCCTGCACCCGGAGCTACCACGTCCATGCCAGTAGGCAAAGGGTGGGCATTAACTGGGTTCTGTTGTGCCTCAGTTTCCCCTCCCAGCTAGAGGGAAACAAATTTGCCCTCTTATCCCTCCCTTCTAGTGGAGCCTGGTAGGGGGATTGCTGGGTGGGGAGGCAAGCTTGGGGAGGGAGGGGCTAGCTCCAGGCTCCACCCCTTCCCTGGGTATAAAAGCGGAGGGGCCAGGCGAGGAGGAGCCCATGTCCCTCATGCCCACCTGCAGCAGGGTGGCCTTGGGCACCACCAGCAGCATGTCCATGTTGCCGTCCTCATCCCCCTCCAGCGTCACCAGCTCATCCATGGGCCGGGGCTCGCTGAACTGGAAGGGGCTGCTGCGTCCCCGCTCCTCCCCACGTCGGTCCACATAGCGGTACTGGTACTGCTGGGCCCCTGGTGGGGGCAGGTAGTTGGCTGTGGGGGGGGACAGGCTCAGTTAGTGGGGGTACCCTGAGCCCTGCCTGCGGCTGCGTGGGTACCCGGGGTGTCAGGGGGTGACGATGCCCCCTCCTTCCCCTCTGCTCTGCCCATCTCACACCCTGACTCTGGGGTCTTACAGGATCCTGTCTGGAAGCTTCCCCTCAACCAGGAAGCACCAAGCTGAAACACCCACCCCAAATCCCCCCCCTCCAGGGGATGCAGATGACCCCCCCCACAGCATCCCCTGTAGGGTGGTCCTGGGAGTGCTGCCACGCAAGAAGGCCTAGATCTGGGGAGGGGGAGAGGAAGACCCCCCCTTGGGGGGGGGTGTTGATGAGATCAGAGAGCGCCAGGCCCCCCTTTGGCCCCCCTACCAGGCACCACGTACCTTGGAACTGGACGCTGGAGTGGAGGGGCACCCCCGTGGGTCCCCCCTCAGGCACCGGGCACCACACAAAGGTGTAGTAATCTTTCACAGACTCCGCTTCCACCTGCATGGACAGACACACAGACCAGGGCAGGGCTGTGGCTCAGCTGCCCGCTTCGGCCAGGGTGGGGAAACTGAGGCACAGAGCAGCCAAGGGGCAGAGCTGGTGAAAGAACCCAGGAGTCCTGCTCTCCCCCCACCCCCCCCCAACAGCTGGATCCCAATCCCCTCCTGGAGGACACTGCAGGACCCAGGCTTCTTGCTGGCTAGCCCCCACCCAATTTTCAAAGCTGGCAAAAAACCCAGCTGTCCAGCTACCAAGTGCCCCCCCATGTCCCCAGCCGTGCAGCTTCCTGAAATATTGTCCCCAGGTGGGTGCAATATTGGACCCAGGTGGGTCCAATATTGTCCTTGGAAGTGGGGTGGGGAACAGGAAACCTGCGTTCGTTTCCTGGAGCTGTAGCCCCCATTAGAAAGCCCCAGCTCTGTGCCCCAGTTTCCAAGGCTGGGGGGTGGTTTGGAGACTTCGGGGAGAGGTGATAGTGCTCGACACATGGGGAAACTAAGGCATGGAGGGCACCCACTCCTCCCGCCCCCCATACCTTGAAGATGCCGATCCAGTCCCTGGCGGAGGGCTTGGTGCCGGGCGGCAGGGTGTAGTGGCACTCCACTTTGGTGCCGGGCACGTAGGAGTGTGCCACGTTGAGGAAGGCTACAGGGACGGGGCTGGGGCCGTGGGGTAGGGCCCCCGGCTTGCTGGGCGATGCCTCTGCCATCCTCGACCTGCTGGACAGGTGGTGGGAGGGGGTGAGCAGGGTCCCAATAGCTCCTCGCTGAACCCAGGTGTCCTGGCAGGGCACGTCCCCCTTCCCCAGAGCCCGGCTCCTCCCCTGTGGGCACCGGGGGGGGTGGGGGGGGGGTGGTGTCTTTCTCCAGCAGTTGAGCTCTGGGCTGGGGAGGCCACATGGCTAAGCTGGGACACCTAGGTTCTGCATGCCTCCCAGCTAGAGGAAATCAAATCAGCGAGGCACAGGGTACTCAGATGCCTGCCCATTGCCAGCTGCACAGGGGTCACCTGCTAGGAAGGGCAAGGAGGCTGGTCCTGGGGGGTCTGAGCAGCTTGGAGGAGACCCCAGGTGCTACAGCAGTGATTCTCAACTGAAGGGATCTTGCAGCACCCTAGTGGCCTTTCTGGCACCTGCTGCTGCCCCCACCCATGCCATCTGCCCCCAATGCTCCTCCAGGGACTGCTGCCAGGTTTGTCCCCCCTGCTCCAAGGGCTGAGGCACATGAAATCGTGCAAGATCAGTCACACACGCTATGGACCAGGGGTGGGGAAGCAGACAGTAGAAAGAGCAGGGCATGGTAGGCTGAGGCCTGCCCTCTTCCCTGGCACTTGGCTCCCCTCAGGTGGGCACAGTCTCCCATCCAGGCACAGACCAGGGCAGATGCTGCTTAGCTTCCAAGCCATGTCAGGCTAGCTGGGTGGCATGCCACAGAGACACAGGGCCTACCCCCACTGCAGCTGACATTGCGTGGGGGGACAGGCCCCACCAGGCAGATCCGTGCCTCAGTTTTCCCTTCTGTGGAATGGGCGTGAGTTGCAAACATCAGACAGATGGGGGTGGGATGGCCCTGTGCTTGAGCAGCGCCCAGTGCTCAGAGGCCGGGGAAGGGACTGTGGTGGCTTGTGGGTGTGGGGTGCGGCGACCCAACGCCCGCCGGCAGTGACAGGCTGAGCACCTGGCCGCATCCCGGAGCCGCCCCTTTTTTCTGGGGTTGCACAAGGCGGGCTGATGCAAGGCCCGATCCCGACAGGGCAGGAAGCAGCTGCCTACTCCCTTGCGCAGAAACGCCCCCACCTCCACCAGCACCCGGGTTGGGTGCGGGGGGAGGAGCAAAACCCAGGGTGGGGGGGCAGGAGCACGTGCTGTGCTTACAGGGGCTGCCCCTGCCCTCCCTGGGAGTCAGGCCAGGGGGATGAGGCTGCCTTGCGGGGGTATTAAGAGGGTGGGGGGGGCACTTACCCCCCTGGGATGCCCCCCCACTCCCCAGCTGGCAGGCCTTGCAGGAGGGATCCAGGGCACATCCCCCTCCCTCGTCCAGGGTGCACCCCTTGGGGCAGCTGAGCCCAGATCTGACCCCCCCGGTGCCCCCCCACCCGGGCAGGGGCGAGCAAGGCTCTTACCGCGGAGCAATCAGCTGGGCTCCAACAACAACAGCAGGCTGGGGCCGGCAGGGGGCGGGGCGGCGCGGGGCATGCTGGGACTTGTAGTCCGGCCCAGCCTGACTGCTGGGCCAGCGGCAGCGCCAGGGACTGCAAATCCCAGCGAGGCCCAGGAGGGGGAGGAATGCAAATCCCAGCATGCACCGCGGGGGAGGAGCAAGGGGGGGGGTTGCAAATGCCCCCATGCCCGGGGCTGGGGGTGGGGAATAGAGGGCTAGAGTGCCCCCCCCCAGGCTTTTGTCCCCATTTGCAGGCTTGCTTGTGCTCCCCTCCTTCAGCCCTTGGGCTCTCAGTCCCATGACTCCTGGTGCTGGGGCTTGAGGCCGATGTAGGGCACCAGGCTGCAGCCCTGCCTTGCTAGGCAAATGCCAGGGCTTGGAGCTCCCCCCTGCTAGCCCACCCACCTCCTCCTACTCTTATCCCGGCTCCTGCCCGGCGACCTGTCCATGGGGCTGCAGGATGGACCCTGCTCCTTAAGACGCCCCTGGCTCTGCAAAGGTGCCTGGTGCTTGAAATGCCAATAGCGGACAAGGCAGAGCGGGGCTCATTGGCCGTGCTTATCCCAGGGCAGCCCCCAGTGTGGATGCACTTACCCCAGGGTAAAGGCACTGTGCCCGGGCATCGTTGGCAGAGGGCATCAGGTCCTGCCTATTTGCCCAGCGAGCTCCCAGCCCTGCCAGTGCCTCCCTGGGCTGGGGAACCTGACCCGGAGTGGGGCTGTGCTCTTGCAAGGGGCCTGAGAAGCCTCAGCGGGGAGGGAGCCGGAGCCGGGATCCAGGCCTGGGTGGTGATGTGTTAGTGGATGTTGATGTCCATCTGCCCACCTGTCCATCCATCCGTCCGTCCGCCCATCCTCCTGTTTGTTAGTCCGTCAGTCCATCCATCCATTGGTTCATCTATCCCCTTAGACCCTCATGTTGATCTATTGATTTATCTCTCTATCCACACACAACTCCCCATCCATCCATCTCCTTCCTTCCTTCCTCTCTTTCCCACCAGGGCTCTCATTTCTGGATGGCTCCTGCTCCCAGCGTCTTTGGTGCCCCCACCCTCCCCGGTCCAGGCTGGCTATGGGTGGAGGGAAGATACCCTGCCAAGAGCTCAGTACATCCAGGAAGCAGGGACCCTGAGCTCGCTGCGGGGGCAGAGCCAGCCGGACATGGGGCTGGGGGGCAGGCATGTGGGCACAGTGGGTGACCGCTTTAGGGAGATCCCTGGGCCCCTGTGTCTGTCCCTGGCTCCATCCATCCATCCTGTCTCATCTCCCTGCAGGGTCTCAGCCCCTGACCCAGCTTCTTAGGCTGTAACCTGCTTCCACCCTGGCCTGGAGCCCCTCATGCCATCTCCAGCCCCCCGTTGCCCTCCCTGCCTTGCTTGCCCACATGCCAGCAGCTACCCCCTCCTGCCTAGGCAGCGAGAGACAGGGATGGAGACAAATGGGCTGGCATGGTGCCCTGCCTCCTGCTGGGACCCCGGGAAGCGCTTGGCAAAGAGGGTTAATGGCTGCTCTGTCTGTTCTCATCCCCGGCGAGGGGAGCCGACTAAGCAGCTATGATGGGCTGGGGGAGGGGAGGGGGCTGCTCTGGCGAACTGTAATTAACAGCCAATCGTTCATTAGAGAGAGAGAGATGAAATATGGCCCTGGCTGGGCCCAGCAGCAATGCAAGGGAGGGAGGGAGGGAGAAAAAGAGAGATACAAGGGTACAAAGGGAAAGGAGGATGGAGGGATGGAGTCTGGGGCTAGAATGAAAGAGGGGATTGATGGATGGATGGATGGACGGATGGATGCATGTAGAGTTGGAGAGAAAGGGAGCATGGGGATGGATGGATGCATGGACAGATGGATGGATGGACGGATGGATACGTGTAGGGTTGGAGAGAAAGGGGGCATGGGGATGGATGGGCAGGTGGATCCATCTGTCCATCCAGTCATCGATGGATGGATGGGTGGATGTGTGTGGGGCTGGAGAGAAAGGGGGTCTGGGGATGGACGGATGGATGTGTGGGGCTGGAGAGAAAGAGATGGAGTGTCAGAGGGGGAGAGAGGAACGGACAGACAGACAGGCAGATGGAAACAGCGCTGTGGGGCTGAATGGGTGGCATTAGGGGGCATTTTCACTGGAAACAGCCATGCTCCATGGCAGTTGCCTGCACGATTTTGAGGCGATGACTTTTATCTTCAGGCAAACCAGATCCTTTCAGCCTCACTCTGCCAGCCCCCTCCAAAGGCCCCTGCACCAGCACCCCCTGCCATGACCCCATCCCCTGCTCTGAGATCAGCTCCCTTCTTTGAGAGCCACATCTTGCTTCCAAGAATGGCTTAAATACGAGTGAAAATAATGAGGTGACGGGGTTCAAGGTTGCATGGGATAAGGACCAGGATTGTTCCAAGCAGAGCTTATGTCCTTGTGTTGTTATTTGGGGTTCATATATTGCGGCCGGG